CTAGTATGGTCTCCCATCCACTCTGACCAGCCGGTGCAATCATGGAGTACGTGACACCATCAGTCACATCTTCAGACTCACATGCAGCTTGTATCGTTAACTGGCGTTGTGGCAGAAGATTCGTCTGTATATTCTGGATGTCCTGTGGGAGCTGAGTGGAAGATCCCCTGGAAGTGAAGAGCCCCACCAGTTTCTCAGCTTCCCAAGATGGGTTCGGGTGTGCTGGTGGCCTCGGCTTGCTTTTGCCAGTTGTGATGTTAAGCTTGCCCCATATGTCAGATAAGGTGGTGTGATGCCCAAATGTTGAGCACCACTCCAGCCATTTCTCAGGCATGCTGCACAATGTCTCTCAGAGTATTCCTGTTCTCTGCTGTAGGGTTACGCCTGTATAGCTTCCCAAAAGAGTTAATGCGGTGGTTCTGCTCCCATACCTCATTGCCGTAGAACCACCAGTCTCTTTTGTGAGAGTGTCCTGCAGACTTCTTTGGAATTGCACACACTGCTGCCTGGATGAGAACAGTGATTAGTTCCTGTTCAGCCGTATCAGAGTCTTCAGATAGTGTATGTGGACCACCAGTCATGAAGATAATCCTGGAACATTGTTCAGTTGGCCCTCTTTACGTCCCATCTAGGAGGCACCACAACTGTGGCAAGACTCAGGTGGAAGGTCACATGGGTGGTAGTAGTAGCAGTAGTAGTGTGGTGGTGATGGTAGTAGTAATAGCAGTAATTGTAGTAGTAATAGTAGTAGTAGTAGTAGTAGTACAGTTGTGGCAGATGGGTTGGGTTTGAGAAGGACCTATCAACATCATGCTCAAGCGGTCTCCAGAATTGGTAATACAAAGTTGATTAGCAATTGGAATATAATGTAACTTCTGGACTTTTGATGGATAATGTTACTGACAGCCTATATACACTTTTGCCATCTTAAATCTTCTTCCTTAATGACTATTTTTAGCTTCACTGAATTTCATGAGGTATCTGACATCATTCTTTTGCTGAACACACATTTCTACAGTCATCGAGGTTGCAAGCGTTTTTGTGTTCTCTGATCCTAGTAACCAGAGATCAGGCTTTTTCACCCCTCACATGGAACAGTGTGTACTCCTGCGCTCATGCCAGAGTCATTCTTGGGTTTTTTTGTACTAAGTTTCTTAATTCTGTTCCACTTCCCCATGGAGATAAGAGGAAATAAACAAGAATAAGAACTAGAAATAAAATAGAAGAAAACCCAGAGGGGTGTGTGTATATATGCTTGTACATGTATGTGTAGTGTGACCTAAGTGTAAGTAGAAGTAGAAAGATGTACCTGAAATCTTGCATGTTTATGAAACAGAAAGAAGACACCAGCAATCCTACCATCATGTAAAACAATTACAGGTTTCCGTTTTACACTCGCTTGGCAGGACGGTAGTACCTCCCTGGGCGGTTGCTGTCTACCAACCTACTACCTAGGATCAGTTGCTGATATCTCTGGATATTAAGATCAGAGAACATACAAAAGTTTGCAACCATAATAACTGTAGCAATGCATGTGTTCAACACAGGGATGGACACCTCTTGAAATTCAAAAGTCAGGAAGTTACACTACATCTAAATTGCTAATCAACCATATATTACCAATCCTGGAGACTGCTGTAACATGATGTTGACCTCTCAAACCCAACATATCTTGCCACAATTGTGCTGCTGCTGCTGCTGCTGCCGCTGCTGCTGCCGCTGCCACCGCCGCCGCCGCCGCCGCCACCTAGTAGCGATCAGTGAAGAGGCAGGGCCAGGAGCTGAGTCTCAACCCCTGCAACCACAATTAGGTGAGTACGTACACACACATAGAAGCTGGAGGATCAGGCGCACGTAAAAGGGAGGGCACTGCAATGGATAAGGGAATACCTGACAGGGAGGCAGCAACGAGTCATGGTACGTGAAGAGATATCACAGTGGGCGCGTGTTATGAGCGGGGTCCCACAGGGGTCAGTTCTAGGACCAGTGCTATTTTTGATATATGTGAACGACATGATGGAAGGAATAGACTCTGAAGTGTCCCTGTTCGCAGATGACGTGAAGTTGATGAGAAAAATTAAATCGGACGAGGATGAGGCAGGACTGCAAAGAGACCTGGACAGGCTGGACATGTGGTCCAGCAACTGGCTTCTCGAATTCAATCCAGCCAAATGCAAAGTCATGAAGATTGGGGAGGGGCAAAGAAGACCGCAGACAGAGTATAGGCTAGGTGGACAAAGACTACAGACCTCACTCAGGGAGAAAGACCTTGGGGTGACCATAACACCGAGCACATCACCGGAGGCACACATCAACCAAATAACCGCTGCAGCATACGGGCGCCTGGCAAACCTGAGAATAGCGTTCCGATACCTTAATAAGGAATCGTTCAAGACACTGTACACTATGTATGTTAGGCCCATACTGGAGTATGCAGCACCAGTCTGGAACCCACGGCTAAGATGATGGAGGTGGTACTGGAAAACTTCATGTACCAACACGTAAGGGACACTACAAGAGAGAGAGGAGAGGATGAACCAGCAAGACTGGACTTAGTATTCGCCTTGAGTAGTGCAGATATTGAGGACATCACACATGAAAGACCACTTAGGGCCAGCGATCATGTGGTTTTGAGCTTCGAATACACAGTAGAGCTACAAGTGGAGGGGGAAGCAGGAAGGCCAGGACAAATGAAACCAAACTATAGGAAAGGGGACTATACAGGAATGAGGAACTTCCTGAATGAGGTTCAGTGGGACAGAGAACTGGCAGGGAAGACAGTTAATGAGATGATGGAATATGTAGCAACAATGTGCAAGGAGGCTGAGGAGAGGTTTGTACCCAAGGGAAACAGGAATAATGAAAAAGCCAGGATGAGCCCATGGTTCACCCAAAGATGCAAGGAGGCAAAAACCAAGTGTGCTAGGGAATGGAAGAAATATAGAAGGCAAAGGACCCAGGAGAATAAGGAGAGCAGTCATAGAGCCAGAAACAAATATGCACAGATAAGAAGGGAGGCCCAACGTCAATATGAAAACGACATAACAGCAAAAGCCAAATCTGACCCGAAGCTGTTATACAGCCACATAAGGAAGAAAACAACCGTCAAGGACCAGGTAATCAGGCTAAGGAAGGAAGGAGGAGAGACAACAAGAAATGACAGTGAAGTATGTGAGGAACTGAACAAGAGATTCAAAGAAGTGTTCACAGAGGAGACAGAAGGAGCTCCAGAAAGACAGAGAGGTGGGGTACACCACCATGTGCTGGACACAGTACACACAACCGAGGAAGAAGTGAAGAGGCTTCTGAGTGAGCTAGATACCTCAAAGTTAATGGGGCCAGATAACATCTCTCCATGGGTCCTGAGAGAGGGAGCAGAGGCACTATGTGTACTACCCCTAACAACAATATTCAATACATCTATCGAAACAGGGAGATTGCCTGAGGCATGGAAGACAGCAAATGTAGTCCCAATCTTTAAAAAAGGAGACAGACATGAAGCACTAAACTACAGACCAGTGTCACTGACATGTATAGCATGCAAAGTCATGGAAAAGATTGTCAGGAGAAGAGTGGTGGAACATCTAGAAAGGAATGATCTCATCAACAGCAGCCAACATGGTTTCAGAGATGGGAAATCCTGTGTCACAAACCTACTGGAGTTCTATGACATGGTGACAGCAGTAAGACAAGAGAGAGAGGGGTGGGTGGATTGCATTTTCTTGGACTGCAAGAAGGTGTTTGACACAGTACCACACAAGAGATTAGTGCAAAAACTGGAGGACCAAGCAGGGATAACAGGGAAGGCACTGAAATGGATCAGGGAATACTTGTCAGGAAGACAGCAGCGAGTAATGGTACGTGGCGAGGTGTCAGAGTGGGCACCTGTGACCAGCGGGGTCCCACAGGGGTCAGTCCTAGGACCAGTGCTGTTTCTGGTATTTGTGAATGACATGACGGAAGGAATAAACTCCGAGGTGTCCCTGTTTGCAGATGACGTGAAGTTGATGAGAAGAATTCATTTGATCGAAGACCAGGCAGAACTACAAAGGGATCTGGACAGGCTGCAGACCTGGTCCAGCAATTGGCTCCTGGAGTTCAATCCCACTAAGTGCAAAGTCATGAGGATTGGGGAAGGGCAAAGAAGACTGCAGACGGAGTACAGTTTATGGAGCCATAGACTACAAACATCACTCAAGGAAAAAGATCTTGGGGTGAGTATAACACCAGGCACATCTCCTGAAGCGCACATCAACCAAATAACTGCTACAGCATATGGGCACCTGGCAAACCTCAGAACAGCATTCCAACATCTTAATAAGAAATCTTTCAGGACCCTGTACACCGTGTACGTTAGGCCCATATTGGAGTATGCGGCACCAGTTTGGAACCCACACCTAGCCAAGCATGTAAAGAAACTAGAGAAAGTGCAAAGGTTTGCAACAAGACTAGTCCCAGAGTTAAGAGGTATGTCCTATGAGGAGAGGTTAAGGAAAATCAACCTGACGACACTGGAGGACAGGAGAGATAGGGGGGACATGATAACGACTTATAAAATACTGAGAGGAATTGACAAGGTGGACAAAGACAGGATGTTCCAGAGACTGGACACAGCAACACGGGGACACAGTTGGAAGTTGAAGACACAGATGAATCAAAGGGATGTTAGGAAGTATTTCTTCAGCCACAGAGTAGTCAGGAAGTGGAATAGTTTGGGAAGTGATGTAGTGGAGGCAGGATCCATACATAGCTTTAAGCAGAGATACGATGAAGCTCATGGTTCAGGGAGAGTGACCTAGTAGCGACGAGTGAAGAGGCGGGGCCAGGAGCTTGGACTCGACCCCTGCAACCTCAACTAGGTGAGTACAACTAGGTGAGTACACACACACACACACACACACACACGTATGTTATTGACATTAATAGTTATCTGTAACTTCCATATATAATAAAATGCATTGTTGTATATTTCTAAGATACAGTTATTGTTGTTGTTGCAGCGTGAGTCAGAGAAGTCAAAGGCAATCCGTGACTTGGAGGAGAAGTACATCACCACCGCCTTCTATAATTTTGTAAGTTTGACACCAAAAGTATGAAATTTGATGGTAAATCTATGGAATTAAGCAGGCATAAAGATAGCGGTATCAGTGCAGTTTACTCACCAGCAATTTTGCCCACTTTGAATCCTATTTTAAGCTAATTTTATTGTTCCAGTCGACCATATTCTTAGCTATTTTACTAGTATAAATTCCATTTTATCAATTGAACACAAGAAACTTCCCATTCCTCTATTTCAGCTATGTTATAAAATGATCAAAATTTGGTAATTTGGCCAGTTTCACACAAAATTAAAAAAAATACCAATTTAAAAAAAAGAAAGTCCATAATCAACAATGTAGACATTCTTCTCTTCGATTAGTCATGTCCCCAGATCTCTATTATATTATACATGCTTTCCATTTTTAATTCTTATTCACACAAAAAGTAGAAGATATACTCTATTTCTCAGATAAAATATAACCAGAAAAGATTGGTTTGGTTTACAGTCTCGATAATTGAATCAGAACTATTAAAAACCCATAAAACAGACTTGCGATTGCAGGTAGGAGCCTTACCCATCCTCTGGAATATTGGCAAAAATTTAATATTTTCGCTAGTTTGAGCTCAATTTCAAGCTACCTCTAGTCCTGAAACGAATCAAAATCATGTCTATTTCAGTAATATGCCTTTCATTCTATAAAATGATACCAGTTAAACAGCCAGTAAAACCATAAAAACCATCTGAGAAAGCATCACAAATTTGCTGTTTTCAACCATACACATGGTCACAGTTGTGTTTTTCCCATCATTCATAGCATGGGGCAGGATTTATTTTTATAGGGCACACACTCACCCCACACACATTCTCTCATATCTAGGCTAAAATTTACTTCTCACAGCTTATCTGAGTGAGCTGAGTTCATGACATAAAACTACATAACAGACAGCCAAAATTAAATTGACTCATGCATTTGCTATAAAAATTTATCCCAAAATATTTTTTGTATTAATCGTAATTATGTATTGCAATGCTCTTGAAGACTTACCTAGCTTCTATTTTTTTTAATTTACTTAATATGGAACTTAATGTATTTAAAATTTACCTGATGTTTCTTTATCACAGACGAATGTTCTCAAAAATTAATAACAAAAAATTAATATTTTTCAGGGTATGCAGATGCACCGGCAGATGATTGGGCAGCGGTTGTCAACCATGGACCAGGGCCAGTCCTTCTTATCCCGCCAGAGACAAGCATCAACTAGACGTGTGCCCTTGGGTAGCAATATGAGCAACAGGTAAGACACTTTTATTGTTAAATATTAAAAACACAGTGGATGCTGTAAGAGAATTCATAAAACAGTGCCAATATATGAGTTACAGACGAATGGTTCAGAGAACCGACACGTTGATAAATTAGACACATGTGCAACTCTTGGGTATCTTTATTGAGGAAACGTTTTGCCACACAGTGGCTTCATCAGTCCATACAAAGGAGAAACTTGAAGAACAGGAGGAGAATGAGGTAATCAGTCTCTCAACTTTGAGTCGATGTGGTCAGTCCATCAATCTCTTGCCAAAGGTGCACTTACACTGCAGTTATAAAACTGCAACATTAACACTCCTCCTGTGCAATATATAGAATCAAAATATAATATGGGACAGAATTTTTAATATTCTTTTATGTGACACAAACCTATTAAATGATATATCCACTTGTTCATTTCTTTACAATTTGTCTTCTGTGTTAACTTCAGATTATAGTTCTTTTATTGCATAAGATGATATTCACTTTTACTACAATAGATTGGAGGTCTATTGTAGTAAATTTAAGGAAAAACAAATAGTTTTTCAATAAATTTATTTGAACTAAGCTACCCATTCTGAATGAACATAGAGAACTTTTTACAACACAGTGCATCCCCCTGTCTCTCCTTGCCTGATGACTGTAGACTGTTCAAAGGATCTTAAACCTAGTAATTCTTGAGAGGTGTTTTGCATGGCAAATAAAAGCAGAAATCCCCTCATCCCAGTTATAATATTTACATAATCTCAACAGTAGGATTGGTGAAATTTTTTGAGCACCTCTTGTGATTGTTGCAACTAACAGCACATTATGCTTATGCAGAGGAATAGTTTCAGGATACCTGGATAATTGGTAAATACTGTATTTATTGTCCATTTTTTCTTAGGAAGTGAACTAACACAATTTACCACAAATTTACTAAAAGATGTTCCTGTAACTGGTGTAGATTTGAGTGGTGTTGGCTACATACCTTGCTTGGGCTCTCCTACCATTTGACAAATGTGACAAAACTTAACATACTGTCTTGTCATGTCCCACAGTTAAGACTAACAGAAATGCCTGCACACCTTAGAAACAGTTTTCAAGCTGCCCAGGTTCTCCCCTCCATTCCCAAGTACCAAACTGAATAACTTATTGTCTGTAAGGCTCATGCAGACTACCTCTGCCCTGTCAGATTGCACTTCAACAGGTGATTTCTTCATAAGAATTCTTTCCTTAACATAGAAACACTTGGCTAGTTAGGAAACTGAACTTCTCAGTATAGCTGATAATCAAATGGCCTTCATCCTCACGATGCCGTGATTAGCTGTTCTTGAGTTGGGGCATCCTCTTCTGTACTCCTTGCTAGACTCATACCCAGACTAAGTAATACCCTGGCTTGTTTACTGTTGCCCGAGATGCCTGCAGATCATCACCAGCATCATGGGAAACATCAGAAAGAGACATTAAAACATAACACCAGAAAAAACTTTCTCCACCCTGTCAGAATGATAATGTAGTGTTACAGTGGACATGATGATAAGCATTTACCTTTGGGTCCAGGTTAGCCAAGTTTTCCTGTGCTTCCTCTCATGCAACTTGAATTCATGTAGTTGAGTGTGCTTCAGATGTAATTACCAGTGAAGCCCCCTGCTGTTTCTGCTACTGGGTCCAGTGGCATATTCCTAATGAATTTTCTTATGTTCTGGATCAACTAAGCTCTGATGGATATGTAGGCCAGAGTGCTACTAACAGCAACAGCCTGACTGACCAGGCAAGCATCAGAAGAGCTTGGCCCAGGGCTGGGCTGTGGAAGTATCAAAACCCAAAAACCTGTTATGAGTACTGTAAAAGGTATACTCCTTGCTACACAATGTACACTTGAAAACTTTGAAATTCCCATCTTCACCTTAAAACTGGTCCCCGGCCCTTGAGTGCCTAAAAAGTAGTCACTTGAATTCTGAAAACCTGAGAAGTGAGCCTCTGTAAACTTAGCAGCATTCTTTACTATTGTTCATTTACTGGACAATTGGTCCCTCGAAATCACAGTCACGTTTATAGATTTCATGACCACAAAAATTGTTAGGGTTAAAGTTAGATTGAGAATCATCAAAACAATGATGCCCACTACCCACTGACTTCTTACTTGCCAGTAATTTTTCAACAAATTCCCGAGCTTTAGTAACTGCATGAGTAGTTTCCTATATCCCACAAGACCAGCACACTGTACCTCATTGAATGCAAGAGACATAGTACTTGCACTTCAGGCAGAGGAGCTGCACCTCAACTTCCTCAGGGAACAGTGCCTGTATGTCCTCTCTGTGGTAGAGCAGAGATATTATGGGATAGGAAAGAGAAGTCATTGGTACTAGGATAACCTGCTTGATAGATAAGAGCCTTGTTATAAACATTACAGAAAAGTCACTTGTTATACTAGATGGTTATAATTACTTATAGTAAACACTAACTCACTTGATGTGTAATTGTATCTTAACATGTTACAAAGTACCTAGTTCTTGTGATTGTACCTAGTTCTTGTGATTGTACCTAGTTCTTGTGATTGTACCTAGCTCTTGTGATTGTACTTAGCTCTTGTGATTGTACCTAGCTCTTGTGATTGTACCTAGTTCTTCTGATTGTACCTAGTTCTTCTGACTGTACCTAGTTCTTGTGTTTGCACCTAGTTCTTGTGATTGTACCTACTTCTGATTGTACCTACTTCTGCTGACCTGTGACTGTACCTAGTTCTTGTGATGTACAGTAGACCATTATACTACACCGATTTATTTTCCACGTTTTGGCTATTACACTATTGAAAAATTGCAGCATAATTTTATACAACACTTTGTAAAATTAAAACAGTTCAGTTTGTGGGGGGGGGAGGGATTTAGAGGAGGTGTGGGCTACAAGGGTATTTCCTTGGCTGTGAGGCCACCTGGCTCTGGGCCAGGCCAGTGTCTCTGTGGGGAGGCTCTTCCTAGTTTCCCCTGCCACCCACCCCTCTCTCAGACTCTTCTTAGAGCTAGCTCTGTTTGTGAATTGTGTTGTGATCTTTTCATCTCTTGAAAAGAATGACTTACTGAGACTTGACTGAATTGATCTGACTTACTGATTTGACTGAATTGACTTACTGACTTGATTTTAATGACTTAAAGTTAGACTTTTAACTGAAAAAGACCCTTACAAATCTAGAAGCAGCAGTCTGAAATGGGGTCTAGAGTAGCTGATGATGCCTTACCTTCAGCTGCAGGGTAAAATAGCTCTGAGATCCATTAAAAAATTTATGCACACTCCAGTACAACCATCAACTTTAGTACCAGAACCTCAACAATCCACCTCAGCCTAGTAAGGCCACAGCATAACTCTCCATTCTCTTCACAGTCATTCACAAACACCCACAATTTAAGGTAAGAAATACAGTAGTGCCCCACTTATGCGGCAGGTTAGGTTCCAGGCTACCGCCAGAAAGCAGAACACCATTTTTTCCACTTACAAACACATACAAATGCCAGATAACAAGTTTACACTAACATATATTAAGCTAACAGTAGAACTAAGCATTAAAAACAAAAAGAAAAATCCATACACAGTACATTCAATACTTACCTTAAAATATTTGTAGATATTTTTAGTCTTAATGTAGGGTGAGAGGTGAGTAGTATTTATTTGTGTAGGAAGTCAGGTGTAGGAAGCTGGTAGGTGTAGCTATGTAGCCCACCTAGGCTACATATCTACACCTACCTACATAGCGGCCCAGGGCAATGTTATTACAATTGACATACCTTGTTCACTGAGTTTAATCATTTCTAAGAACTACCCTTAGATGCCATCATAAATGAAGGGAGAAGTAATGAGAAGTCATGCCAAGAATTGTAAACAAAGCCGAATGCTTTAAGGGGAGTTACTGGGTCAGAGGCGGATTGATATACATTTTCTCTAGTTCTGGACCAGAGAAAACGTAATTCTTTTCCTCCGCTTGGCTACCACACCTCATATTTATGTGAAATTTATTGTACAGTGGGTGTATGTATCATATTTATATGCTGTGTAACATTTTTCTTATATAATTTTGAAGAAGAACATCAAAATGGTATACAATACCGACAGGTTGTTAGGTAAGACACATAGGCAACAGTTAGGCAACTTTATTCCAAAACGTTTCGCCTGCACAGTAGGCTTCTTCAGTCGAATACAGAAAGTAGGCAGGAACAGTAGAGATGTGAAGACGATGTAATCAGTCCATCACTTTTGAAGTCGTAGAATTTGAGGTTGTCAGTCCCTCAGCCTGGAGAAGTTCAGTTCCATAGTCAGGAACTATCTGAAGATCAAGCGACAGTGCAGAGACTTAAATACTGTCGGAAGGAGAGGTGCAGAGTAGTAGTAGTGAGAATGTAGCCACTGAGAGGTCATGTCCCTCTCAGATCCAACAATTCTCACTTGAAAAGGTTGTCCAAGGTGTTTTCTGTACCAAGATGCCATGTGTTCATCTTGCCAGACACTCCAACACATGGCATCTTCGTACAGAAAACACTTTGGACAACCTTTTCAAGTGAGAATTGTTGGATCTGAGAGGGACATGACCTCTCAGTGACTACATTCTCACTATTACTACTACTACTACTCTGCACCTCTCCTTCCGACAGTATTTAAGTCTCCGCACTGTCGCTTGATCTTCAGATAGTTCCTGACTATGGAACTGAACTTCTCCAGGCTGAGGGACTGACAACCTCAAATTCTACAACTTCAAAAGTGATGGACTGATTACACAGTCTTCACATCTCTACTGTTCCTGCCTACTTTCTGTATTCGACTGAAGAAGCCTACTGTGTAGGCGAAACGTTTCGGAATAAAGTTGCCTAACTGTTGCCTATGTGTCTTACCTACCAATTTTGAAAAAAATACAATTTTGGCCCGACCAACGATGAAAAACTCAACCAACATGATTCGTCCTGAACTTGTCCGTCCAGCCTGAGCACCTCAGCTTCCCTGCCGTCAGCTAGTGTGCCATTGTTT